TATATATATATATATATATATATATATATATATATATATATATATATATATATATATATATATATATATATATATATAAACAATTAACCTCCTAAGATAAATTTGATGGGCCTTTGTCATTATTAATCGAAAAATCTGAGCCTAGGCCTGTCAAGTTACCGTGGCATGTTCCAACTCATTGGAGGATCTATTGGGTGTTGTACTGATTCAAAGGAGCTGATGAGCTTCTGGTGTCTATCGACAATGGATTTTGATGAGCTTCCTCCTCCAGATTTTCTCCTGCGATATCACAAAAAAAAAAAAAAAAAAGGCATCCTAAACAAATATGATCAGCACCTAACCTTGTCATCATCACCTGCTTGATTCTGCGATGGCGACCGAGCATTTCTTCAAATGTGGGGGCTGTTGGGACTATAAATGAGGTGCTGGAATCTGCTGCATTCTAATAAGGCATGATCAAGAACCTTACAGTGAGACACTGAATCCAAACCAAGCTCACCCTTGCAGAATCAAAAGAGTCCTTTACTTCTTTGGGCCACCATGTCCTGCAGAATGAGAGCTCAAGTGGTGTTCCAAAACGCGAGCTTGCAGTGGTGTGAAGCGTATCAGACTATCTATCTTGTACTGGCTTTCAGACAAACTCGTCACAAAAAACTTCGACCTTTGATAAAACTATGCAATCTTATTATGTCTTCGTGGGCCATACAAATAGATATATGCAATGGCATTGGGATCTGTATTGGCAAGAACATCCCTTCACTCTGAATGCAGCTGTACCTCCATTGATTGCAGGAGCAAATGCAAGTCAATAAAAAGAGGACAGGGTGTTTGGTAGGCAGATGCACAGTGTTTTATTAGATGTCTTGATAAGGTTCTCCATCGAATAGTGCCTTCAAGAACCATGCTTTGTACCCCTCCCAAAGGACCTCCGAAACCCACTCAAACTGGTTCAAATGATGTCAGGGGTTCCCCCTTTTGAATGTGTGATAAATGGACATTGAGGTTTGGAATCTGAAATGAATGAGAGCAGTCATTGACCACAACATCCTTTCACAAAGGTGTGATGGGAGAGGCAGTGGCACCCATCAAGGCCCCCACATCAAGCATAGCATCATTGCAAGTGGATCACACAGGCAAAGGGGCAATGCGGAAGTATGATCTCAGTGAAGTTGAAAGGAACACTGCTAATGGAATCTCAGTAGAAAAAATGATAAAGAAAGATCCTTTCACCGGCCTCTTCTCTCCTCGACCAGTGTGAGATCACATGAGATATAAAACTTTGGCTGTCCCCTATCCTGATTGATGACCAGATAACCTAAAAAAAAATACTGGAAATCCTTCCATGACTCAACTACAGAGAACCTGATGCAAGTCTCCTATTCTTCTTTGTTTTAGAGACAAACTCAGTGGCTTCATATAATATAATAAAGACTTGTGGCTGGATCTGATAATGTTACAAAAGGTTGGAAACTTGGAGTGGATTTGTGATTGGAAGCCATCTGTTTGACAATGATTAACGCAGAGTACCTTTAAGAAGATATGAACTGAGTGCTTTAGGGGAGCTGAACTCTGATCAACCTTTTGAGTTCCATGATAAACAAATGCATGGTTTTCCATACAAAAAAGGTTCTGATGCATGCAAAAGATGACGAGCATAAACAATAATATAATTCTTAAACCAAACAGGTTAAGTGAACGAAACCTACAAACAAGAGGGTTGGGGATTAAAATAACACAGAGGAAGAAGAAAACAAAGCGTTCGTCAACGAAGGTGATGATGGAGGAAGAGAGAGAGATAAATAACCTGCCGGCTTTTTGGTCGCATACGGCTTCCTCGCTGCTGCAGTGCGGCAGGTCGTTCAGCACTTCCTGTGAAATGTGTTGTACTGGTTGCCCTAAAGGGAGCTTTTCGTAAATAAGTCTTTAAATTTGCCTCTTTAACTAGCATCGATGATGACGTTATTTCCATCAGCTATTAGCTGGAACTGCTGTGCGATGTTCGATGCACTCTACCACCGTTTCAACGCACCTCCTTTCTTTAATTTTTAATTAGAAAAACTATATTAAAATTGGTTTCGATATTAATAATAATTAAATAAAGGGTGAGTAGTGCTCTACGCTACACGACAAAAAGACGGGGAGCTCGATCATTTGCAACGTGGACCGAGGAGATTCCTCCACGTCGCTCGATCGGAGTTAACCCCATGTCTCCCACCGTCTCCTAACCCGAGTTGTGTCCTCCCCCACCACTTTATTAGACTTTGGCGAGCGCATTTCTCTCTCTCTCTTCCCGTCTCTTCTCTGTCTTCTTTGCAGAGCTTGCGCCGCCCGAGAAGACCAAACCTGCTTCCTTCTTGCCTTTCGCCCCCGAGTCTCGCCGGTTAATGGGAGCCCGATTTGTCGGCACCGTTCGTGTTTTGTATCGGAAGAAGAGGGATTGAAGGTCTGCTTTTTTCCTTCAGATAGCGGGCCGCTTTGTTCGCCGTGTTATCGAAGAAGAAGAGGGATTGTTTGGGTCAGCTTGGTGTGTAACAGTGATCTGAAGGACTGGTAGCTGGTGAAAGCTTCTCCTTTTTTGGTTTCGTTCTTCTTTTTTCTGTGTTGAAAGTTAGAGAGAGAAAGGGTGGTTTGGATGATGGAATTGGAGAATTCCTCCGTCATGACCGTCTCCAACTCTGGGTCCGGGGAGGCTAGCGTCTCCTCCTCCGGCCACCTACAGCCTTCCGCGCTGCAGAACACGGACCCGCCGCCGCCGCCGATTCCGGTAGTCAAGAAGAAGAGGAACCTTCCCGGAACGCCGGGTAAGTGGAATTAGGGCTGCTCGACAGCGTGAAGGTTATTTGATTATTGTTGTTGTTATTTGAATGGGGATGTCTGTGGTAGATCCGGAGGCGGAGGTGATCGCGCTCTCGCCGAAGACGCTGATGGCGACCAACCGGTTCGTTTGCGAGATATGCAACAAGGGGTTCCAGCGGGACCAGAACCTGCAGCTGCACCGGAGGGGGCACAATTTGCCGTGGAAGCTGCGGCAGAGGACGGGAAAGGAGGTGCGGAAGCGGGTGTACGTGTGCCCTGAAACGAGCTGCGTGCACCACGACCCGTCGCGGGCGCTCGGCGATCTCACCGGCATCAAGAAGCACTTCTGCCGGAAACACGGCGAGAAGAAGTGGAAGTGCGATAAATGCTCTAAGAAGTACGCCGTGCAGTCCGACTGGAAGGCCCACTCCAAGGTCTGCGGCACCCGCGAGTACCGCTGCGACTGCGGCACCCTCTTCTCCCGGTATTCCGTCTAACACCTTCGCCGCATCACCAGCAGCTGTCGATGTTGTTGTGACGCCTAGGATTTGGATCTTGGATTCGTTGTTTCTGTTTTGCTCATGGTGTTCTGGTTCGGTTTCGGTAGGCGAGACAGTTTCATCACCCACAGAGCATTCTGCGACGCGCTCGCGGAGGAGAGCGCCAAAACCGGGGCAAAGCCGCAGGCGGCGGACGGAAAGGCAGCGGCAACTCAGGACGGAGCTGCTGCTGCTGCTGCAGGTCAGGACGCAATAGCGGCGACGGCGGAGACAGCTCCGGCCGCTGTGATGGCGGCGGCGTTGCCGCCACAGCAAGTGACACCGCTGGAGAGACAAGGTGGGTGGTTCTCCTCCTTTGTTCTCTTGTGTCCATCGTTTCGAGTCTTATTTTGGACTGCGGTAGAATGCTGTTACGGAAAGAGGAGATAAATGGAGGACTATTGTCGGATCTGAAGCTTCCCAGGCAACAAGATAAAGTAAAACGCGCATTTAGCGGGGATTAGGACAGAGTTGTTGGGTTCTTCCGTCATCTGATGCTTTCCGAGATGCTTTCGTCGTGGATCCAAATGGAGAGGAGAAAGGTGGAGTCTGTGGTGTGTGAAGGGGGGGAGGAAAACGACGTTTTGAGGGAGTTGTTTCGTTCCTTCCAAGGGGCTCTCTGATTCGAAACTTTCCATCGCAATTGATGAGCTAAAGGGGATGGAATCAGAAGTTGCAAGAAATCTACTCATCTCCATGGCATCATTGCTCGTCTTTACACTGCTCTCTTTTGCTTTCCCTTCTCCTAAAACTAGCACCAATAAAAAGGAGACCTTTATTATTTGGTCCCATAACGTGCTTGCGATCCCTTTACAGAGCCGGAGAAGCCCACCGCACTGCTGCAATACATGCCGCCGCTCTCAGCGTCGCTGGCCAACACCAGCGGTGTCACCACCACCAGCAACAGCAGCAGCAGCAGCAGTAGTAGCAGCAGCACCAGCCTGTTCGCGAGCCTTTTTGCGTCGGCCACCGCCGCCACCGCAGCAGGTCACGGCACCGCCACCTTATCCGACCTGATGGGCGCGATGGGACAGGTCGACCGGCCCTTCGTGGAACCTCCCTCGCTTTGTCTCGCCACCAACGGAAGGCCGGCGCCGTTGTTCTCGCCGCAGGCGCAGGGTCATGACCGGCGTCCCTTCGCTCCCCCGCCGCCCTCTCCGCACATGTCTGCGACCGCGCTGCTGCAGAAGGCAGCTCAGATGGGATCCGCGGCGACCGGCTCGTCCTTCCTCAGAGGCTTCGGCCTCGATGCAGCTCCCTCGGGGCAGCAAGAGAGTCTCCAGGATAGCAGCCTTCGATGGGGCCACCATCATCACGCGCAGCAGCAACAGTCGGAAACGGAGCCATCTCCCATGCTAACTGCGGGGCTCGGGCTCGGACTCCCGTACGAGCCGGACTTGATGATGGGATCCTCCCAATTGTTCGGGCCGAAACCGGCGACACTGGACTTTCTCGGTCTAGGAATGGGGCCGGTGGGCGGCACCCCCAACGGGGGGCTATCGGCGTTGATGACTTCGATCGGTGGCGGTGGCCTCAACATGGGACCAGGAACAGCTACCGGAGGCCGTGTAGGGTCGGAGAGAAAGCCGACTAGCCCTGCCATTCGCTAGCATACCCCCACTCCGGTGAGTTTTCAGCGGATTGGAAGGTAGAGGTGGTGGAAGATCTGCATGTATTCGTTCTTTTGCTTCAAAGAATGTTGTGTTCTTTTCTTTTTTGTTCCTTTTCTTTTTTTGGGTCTTTTGTCGTCTTAATGCACGTCTTAAATCACGTAAAATATAGTGGTACATATCGTTTCAAGAACATCGGTGCAGACATGTCTTATGCTTTAAGTGACGTGCGGCAGCCGACATCTCCTCCGTGTTTCCGCCGGTTTAAAGACGCAGAAGCGGTGTAAGACGGCGACGAGGGGAAGGAGACGTCAATCGGTGACAGTGAGCCAAACTGACACATGGTGGACTGCGAGGAAGACACGAGAACCTCGTGCATTAACTCGTCAATTGGAAAGCAATTACGTGGGGGCACTAAATGTCTGCAGAAGACGACGACGCCGATGCATATGAACTGCCTTCTTCCTCCTTTCGACCACAAAATCCAAGTCCGAAGTGCTACAGTGATTGATGACTAGTAAAGCCTATAATGGCTGCTCAGCCTCGGAAAGCGTCAGCGACCCCGCGGTCTCATTCCAACATAACATCCGCAGCAGTGAGAACTGAGAAGAGACGATGCATGTCGGAATGTGTAAGCTCTCACGCTTAGATCACGCTAACGCAGGCCCATCATCTTTTGTTGGAAATGAGATTGCCCTCTTCTCGTAGGTGTTTAACACGATCTATCATCCTTTCTCAGCCAACATCCAACTTGGTTGATGTTGAGATTTGTCTGCTCTCTTTGACTTTGACTTTCCTTCAGAATTAGCTCTTCTTCATTGTGAAACATTATTTTATAATATTAAATTATATTAATTTTTTTAAAAATATATTTAATTTTAAATACCAAATGGACATAATAAAATCGATCATATTTCCTCAATCTTCAAATACTATGATCTTTATATTTTACTCGTATTGTGGTTCGACACCAAATTGACGATCAAGTTAGTATTTGTTTGCTACACATGAAAAATAAAAATTAAAAATTAAAACTCTTAGATGTCATTTTTACATGACATGTTTAAATTTTTTATTCCCAATAATATATGAGGGAATTAATTAACATTATTTTCCTTCTTAGTTATCTGCTTACGTGATAAAGAGTTATTCCTGCAAATCACTGGCACGCGGTCGACGCTGGATCAGAGTTATGACGCGAGGTATACAAGGATGAGGACCTGTTCTTGAATGGTTTTGGCTCCGGCGATGAAGATGGCAGGAGCTCCGACCTGCCTCCGTTGGGACTTGTGTGATCTCTCCTTCTTGTGTCGTATCGTATAACATTTCCTTGCTTTCCGGGATGGCTTCATCTCAACAGGAAGAAGAGTCCGAAAAGAGAAGCGAGGAAGGGGAGCTTATCTTTCGTCGTTTTACGCTTTGTTTGGAATATATTATTTATCCGTCACCTAAAAGAGAATTTTACTTTAAAAAATCTGAATAATTTAAAATTAATTGATTTTATAGATACAAATATAATATCAAAGATTCACGCTAAACAAAATGACACTCCTACCGGGTCTCATTTGGTTTTCTCGTCTCTCTTTTGTTTACTCTCTCCATTATCTCATTCATATGTCATTAAATAAATAAATATAATAAAAATATTATCGATCAATAATCATTCATATGATATCCAAACTATATATATAATCTTCTCTCACATTGACAATGATTCAAGAAACATAGTTGCAAGTTGTCCTTCTGAAGGAAAAAGGAAAAACGAATGAGAGATTATTAGAAACGACTTAGGGTTGCTTTCCTATGGAATATTCTACAAAACATCTTGTCCTTTTGTAACCAAGTATAAAAGCTTATTGTTAGCATAGTCATAGGTGATCACTTTCTACCACTTAGGTATATATGCATCTTTGTCGGGTTACTAACTTAAGCATCGAAAGGACTGAATAAAAAAACCTCTCACAATATCGATCTTTATACATGTGGCATCTCGAGAACTCGATGTTTCCACCTCAGAGGCACCTTAGACAACCTTACGTACATGGGTCTAAACCATGTCAAGCTTATCAGGATGTTAATAATATCTTCTTATAATATTTTTAGCACTAGGCCTCAATATTATAGGAAGGTCTTCTCGTCGATCATCTCGATGAATACTTGAGCCAAAGGGCTTTACCTCCAACCCACAATACTTTCACCAAAGGAGAATAATAGTCACTCTTTTTACACGTCGATGCATCCAACTCAACCCAAACACTAATAAGATACCGATGCTCATTCAAAAACTCAAGTCTTTCACTTCGAGGGATGACCCAAAGCCATCTACTTATCTCTAATAAGGTATTCTTAAATCTCACTCAATAAAACATCACTTAATTTAAGCGTAAGAGGAACCAAATCAGGAAATCTCTTTTGACCTCGATCTTCATCCAACTCAACCCAAACACTAATAAGATATCGATGCTCATTCAAAAACTCAAGTCTTTCATTTCGAGGGATGACCCAAAGACATCTACTTATCTCTAATAAGGTATTCTTAAATCTCACTCAATAAAACATCACTTAATTTGAGCGTAAGAGGAACCAAATTAGAAAATCTCTTGTGACCTTGATCTTCATGCAAGTGACATCTCGGAAGCTTAACGTTTGCATCTTCGAGGCATCTCGGATAACTCTATATATATTATTTTAAAGAATATCATAGGAAACTTTTAAATATTAAAAAAATCATTAGTATCCCATAAATATTAATAAAATATAAATATTAGCATTAGTATTTAAGTAATACAAAATCCAAACCAAATATGATTTTAAAAAATCACAAATTTTGATATGTACACATACATAATTTTATAAAATAAAAATTCTGCAAAAACACATATCCCATACACGACAACCCAACAGCATGTTCTCCACTATTAGCAAGAGAGACATGGGGCCCGAATTAGGTTCAGAAATTACAAGGCGGGTAACGACTCACGTAGAATTAAAACTGGTATCTACTATTCCTCCATGATTTTTTCCGGGTCCCACCTGATCCCCCCTCGTCGTCGTCGTCATGCACATCTCCTCCCCAATTCGCTCGACGCTGTACACCAGACAAAAACGTAGCAACTACTGGCCACCATCAACAGCGAAAAGCAGACTTCAAGAGCGAGAGATATGCCCTCTCCTTCCCCCTTCCCCTCTTCTCATCCACAGCCACAAACCCCACTTTGTCCTCTTCCTCGCCCACCCTTCCCTTCCAATTCCATCCCCTCCCTCTGCGCGCTCCCATCCGCCGTCTTCTTCATCAAGAATGCCGGATTCCATGATCGCAACCACCAAATATACCAAGCAATCGTAGTATCCGATCACCTTCCGCTGACATGGAGAGGCTCGGCGAGAGGGACCGCGTCCTCCTCGGCTACGCCTACCGCGATCCCTTCGGCAACCTCCAACAACCCCCTCCCCCGCCGCCGCACCACCGCAACTCCGACGTCGACTTTGCCGACGTATTCGGTGGCCCCCCCAGGCGGTCCTCCTTCTACGAGCGCCGCCGCAGCTTGGCGGACTCGCTCGACTCCCAATCCCGCTCTCGCCCCCTGTCCTCGGGGCTGGCCGACGAGAAGCCCGTGTTCGGGGAACTCGGAAGCCCGGCTCGGAGGCGGCACTTTGGCGACAATTTCTATGAGGACATATTCCCCGGGAGCGATTCTGGATCATCCACGTCGAGGAAACTCGACCGGGACCCCTTCTTCCCCTCGGCCCCCGGTTCGAGGGTTCTCAGCCCCAATCGTCCAGTTCTTGTTGGAGATTCGTCGCTGCCACCGCAGCTCAGGTTCGATGTTACCCTACTTGCATATTGAACTGTCTCTAGCGCTTGTCACACAGGATTCAGTCCCGTACTACGCTGGAGTTCCAGCTTGAGTCCCATTGTTATTACCACCTTGTTTGGTGCAGAACGTAGTGCAATCACGGAAACATATACCCTTTAAGCGCTCTAATCTGACGAGCATAATCCATTTCACATATCCTCAATTAGTGTACTCTGATCATTGTTTGTTGTTGTCCCCTTATACCTGCCAATTGCACGGCCATGTTGCTCTACTTGAAAGTAAGCGAGATAACCATCCATATGGAAAGATGATCTTTTTGGCTTCTTTTTGCTTTGATATTTCATTCATATACTGCTGTTGGTTTGACAAGCTTTTCCATTCCAGCCTCCCTAAGATGAGGTTCATGAAAGGCGTAGACCATCCGCCATTCAGTTCTCCTGCACACCATGCTCCATACAAAAGCGAGGATGGAGATCCTTATGCATCCACTTTTCCATATTCACCGAGTGATTCCCAAGCAACTCCAGCACCTGATGATATGAGAAATGTCGGTCACGCTTTTTATTGTCAAAGCCCTTTAGCTACTCAAACTTCTCGTGGCATGGGTAGGTCATCTGAAGCTTTCAGCAGGGGTAGTCAATCCGAAAGATATGCGACCAGTTTAGAAGGCTATATCGGCAGCAACAACTTTCATTTCTCTTTATACAAATGGGCAGCCAAAGGAGTGTCACTCACTCTATCTTCTCACTCAAAAAAAACAAATGATGTTGGTAGATGTAGTAGGCTACCTGAAGTGGTCATACAAGCAGATGACCTGCCATCTGATGATGACGATATGTCTACTTCAACCTCAACCGGAGTATCCAACAATCAGACTGAAACTCATGATAACAAGGTATTAAGCGATGCAGGCTCAACAATTACTGAGGATGTTTTGCCAGAGTCACACTCAAAGCACTTAAGCAGAACTTTTACTGGAAATTCAGGTACTTACTGTCCACAATTTACATTCTGCCATTGTCTGCTTTACAATTCTGATGTGTTCTTATCAAGTTGTAAATTTTAAAAAGTGTGAAAAGGGGCATTAACATGTCTCCTATGTTGTTTCCCTTGGCATAGGTATGATCAGCGATAACATCAAAGAATTTTCTGTTGCTATACCGGATACTAAAAGACCCGAGTTAAAAAATCTTCATCATCTCTTCAAGGATGATTTTGAAAAAGATGGTAACATGACATTTGCTATAGTTGAGTTGGATAATGCTGTCATGGACCTATTTAAACTTATGTTTTTCTGACCTCAGGACATGAATCATTAGCTGAAAAAGCAGGTGGTGGTCAAAGAGACATGAATGATGATTTTAATGCCAAGCAA